GCGAGGGAGATGTAGGTATATTATTCCATCTCACTTCCTTATTTCGCCGCCAAGGCCGTCTACACTATGACGCAAAGGGTAGTGAGTGGTGACGAAAAAATCTTACACTTTTTGTCGCCTAGTTCCCATCCGCCAAAACCCATACCCTCCAATAGGGAACTTCGTTCCAATAATGAGTAACTAGCGGTCCGCCTCGGCTTCGCACGGGTGTTTTCTGGATTTCGTCAACAGCGCCACCTACCGGGTCCAATTGTGAATCTAAAACCATTCAGGGAGACACACAAAAAATTTCATCAAATTCGTTCGAGCCGTTTTCGAGTTTTAGCGAGACTAGAGGCCAGCAATTATTTTTTATAAAACACAGAGAGGATCAGGAATATTCCGTCCTTGTCCCCCCGTAAGGTTCTCGTAGGCATTTCTCTTCGAAAAACAAAACACTAAGTTACAAGTACGTAGAGCCATGCTAAAGCTACATTATGATTGTAGCACGAATAAGTCTGCTCATCAGGGGAAGGACTACGTAGAATACCAGCGTGAAATAGCAGTTTAATGCCACGGCATTAAACATATTTCGTATGGTAAGTGTAGAGAACCAGAGACCCTTTTTACTGGAAACGAAGCATACCATCTTAGTCTTGAGGGGCGGATACCGTATCTGCATTGTGATTCTTAATTGAGGTTACACGTAGATGTCTATGGGCCACAGCAACCACTTACCATCAGGTGGACTGTGTGCTCGTTTGTCACTCGATCCTATAAAAATACCAGCGTGAAATATCAGCTTAATTCTGTGTTTCGTATGGTGAGTGTAGAGAACCAGAGACCCTTTTTACTAGAAACGAGACGTAGTATCTTAGTCCTGAGGGGCGATACCGCATCTGCATTGTGATTCTTAATTGAGGTTACTTGAAGATGTCTATGGGTCGCTGCATTCACTTACCATCAGGTGGGCTGTGTGCTCACTCGGTACCCTTATTCTATATAAAAAAATCACGAAGTCAATAAAAGGCACTCTGCGCTGTGGGAGCTAAATTGCACTTTATTGCGTCGTAGTAAACGTCGCTATTCCTTTAAATGTTTGTGCGGAGTGATCCTTCTGTACTGTGGTACTACCACGGTTTTAATCATAACATTACATATTATCTTAGTAGTATATCTTTTTAAATAAATGCATGCCAGTATGTCTTTCCACTCGATGATAATGTGGCCGTCTTCAAGGCAGAGTGAATAGGTTTTTATAATAAGTCAGTGTGCTGTTAACTAAGTCAGTTTAGTGATGCAGCTGAAGATGGTAAACATCTTCAGCTGCATCACCACTTACCAACAACTGGGAGAGTAGTCAAACACTGCTTTAATAATAGTTCAAAAATTTATAAAAAAATACCACATTATAACTTAACTGTCAATTTATTTATGTATAATAAAAAAAACACATTAATGCATATTTATATAATATTATAGAAAAAGAAAACGGGCTAAAGCACCATTTAACAGTGACCATTTTCACAACTGTTTTTTTTTAAATAAATCTAAGTTTTAAAACTAGTTTTGCGGTGGATTATTTTACTTCAGTTCTGTAATTAGACACATTAGTATAAATATTATTAATCTCACTATGCTGTATAAATTGATCACTTTACATATATTATGCTGGTATATTCAGTACATATATACACTATACACCTATATACATTAATGTATGTTTACAATATTCATGTATATATAATTTACATATAATATGTTGTTCTGTTTTTGGCACTTGCCTAAGTACAAATGAGGTTTTCATATACAGGCTGTATTTGAAATCATTGGCATCCACTGAACCTCTTATCATACTCAAACCTAGGAATATTTTGAAGTGAATTACATTAGTAATGACACAGAAAAAAGTAGCAATAATGAATATAATGGCAAAGGTCCAAATCATCGTGATCTTTAGCAAGTGTTGCTCATAAGGCACTAATATATTTGCTTAATTTGTTCTGAAAAAGACCATGAGTTTTTCATGCCAAGCTGCAGGTATATGGGTCGGCTCGACCGGGGAAGGACCACGCTCTTACAGAACACCAGCGAAAAATATCAGCTTAACGCTGCTGTTTCGTTCAGATCGGGATTATACCATTTTAGTCCGCAATGGTGACAAAGCATCTACATTTTGATGTTTGATCAAGTATAAATTTATATTTCTGTGGACCACAGGATCCACTTACCATCAGCACGGCTGGCATAGGCTGGGGACAAAAATTTTATCCCCCAATTATATCCACTGACAAGAAACAAAATTATCTTGTCCCTATGCCAAAGCATGGCAACGGGGAGAAGTATATCCCCATATGACATAACGAGTAGACATATATTCTCCGTTCGTAGCATGGAACCAAATGAAAGATAAAAAATTATGCTATTTGACATTTGAAAGAGACAATTCAATCCTAGTTCATTGGACGTGGGTTTAAGTTTATATTAATACAGAAAATTTAAGTAAGTCTATCTCCCATTTTATCTACTATGGATATTATATCCACCGGTATGTCCATGCCCGAAGGGTGGATAAAATTAAGCGAGGGGATATGGATAAAATTAAAACATTTTCTCCTTTCCCAGGGGATAAAATTGTCTCCTGCCCATCCTAGTCCTGCAGATGGAGTGCGTGCTCATATGTCACCTTTATCTATTTTAAAAAAAGGATGCCTATGGTGCCTTTATCATAGACCATTGTCCCTCTGCCCCTGACTTGATAAACTATACTTGAGTTTATAATTTCATCATTATCATCATCACAGCCTTTCACAAGTCCTCTGCTGAACATAGGCCTCCCCCAAGGAATGTCATAAAGTACGGTACTGAGCCAACTACGTCCATCGAATTCCTGCATCTCTTCAGATCGTCACTACATCTAGTGGGGGCCACAGTACACTTCGCTTACCGGTACGAGAATGCCACTCGAGAATGTTTCTTCTTTGTTTATACTTTATTTTACTATAATTATTTTTTTCGTGTCTATTTGCAAGAATTGTCACTTGCAAATTGCCTAAGGGTGCGTACAGATCAAGTGACATGTTGTATAACTTTTGTTTTATAATACGTCCACATTATGTAACATTGTTTTTCAACGTTGCAACATATAACAATACTGTACACATTAGAATAACAATGCAATATAACAATGTTATATGACATTGTCGTATGACAATGTCGTTTGTCGTTCTGCCGTTCGAGTTATATAATATTTGTGTCATGTTATATAAGTTTTATAACATGTTATGTTACATAATGTGTAAGCACCGTAATATGATTTTTAGTTTTCCTTACTTGCAATATTAAAGCTGTACATTTTACGTTTTCTTAGTTTGAACGTAGTTTGTACCATGTGCATATTATTAGTTTAAAAGGATGCCAATGTTTTTATGTCATCCTGAAAAATATAGCCTATAGAACAAAAATATAAAGTAAAATAAATTATTACACGAGGTTTGATTTTTGAGGGGCACAAGAAGAAAAGAGATTTTCTAAGTACTTCTGTACGGGTAAGCAAAATAATTTTAAGCCCTCCACAGTTGAGCAATACGAGGCTACCTTTCATTTTCGAGGGGCAAGAACGAGAAATACATTTCTACAGTACTCTAGTATGGGGTGGACTTGACCTATCATAAAATATTGTTAATTTAATAAGGGTGCAAGTTTTCTCAAAATGTTTTAGTAATCTACACCACTAAACATGTGGTAATTGACACTAAAAATCAGTAGTGTCGGTGGCGATTGAACTACCGAGCGAGCGAGTTGCTCGCATATTAGGAAATACCTAGCGTCCAGTCCTTTAATTACTTCTCCTGCATACACTATATATTTTCTAATAGGTAGACCAAATTTCACGGATTTTTATCGCATTTAATTTTTACTTTTTACTGTCAATCAAGTGTAATGTTCCTCTACAAGATGTAGGAGTGTACAAGCTTGATTGTGAATGTTGTCTCTCTTAGATAGGACAAACTAAAAGATCAATAAAAAACCGCCTTAATAAATAACATATAGCTGACGTAAAGCACCGACGCTCCGGGAAGTCTGCAGTCTGTGAACATATTCAAGATCGTCCCTGCCATTACATCAGATTTCATAGACCAGAAACGCTTGCAATTGTTCAATTGCAAGAATTCTATTCCTGCCAAGAATTATTCGCGAGGCTATAGAAATTAAAAAACATTCTAATTTTAATAGAGAATATCGATGGGTGCTACCATCTGCTTGGGATCCTATAATTAATAAAATTAAATCCAAACCCAACCATACTACTGCAAGACTTCAAGATACTGTAAGCTCGATCTGTTTAGATCGAACCATAAATTAATTTAAAACCAAAAACCGGTTAAGTGCGAGTAGGACTCGCGCATGAAGGGTTCCGTATAATCATACAATATTTAATACTATGTAATGCAAAATAAACACGTTCCTATTAGGGGAACCCGCTTTAATTTTAAATTTCTTTTTATTGCGGCAACAGAAATACACATTCTGTGAAAATTTCAACTATCTATTACAAATCATGAGATACAGCCCGCTGACAGACATATGGACAGACAGCGGAGACTTAGTAATAGGGTCCTGTTGGTTACACTTCTGGTACGGTAACCCTAAAAAACTGAAGGTAGCTGGTCTAACAATGACATCGGGAAGTCAAACACCTTAATCCCTCCCGTGACCATGTACACGACACGGCGGAAATTAAAAAGTTATAATTAAACGCGATAAAAATCTGTAAAATTAGTTTCATTTAAAGGTAGACACTACTCACTATGACAATCAGCCGTTCTGCCAACAGCAAGATTGTTTTAGACTTGGACAAACCAAGTTAACTGTGAACACACCACTATCCTAACACTTATAATAACGAATTGGTTAAAATTTCACTATTTGGTCCCCCGACCGGGCATAACACTTCAGTTGTCAGCTCTACTGTCACAAGCTGTTCATTAATTAGGCCGATGCCCAGTGGTAAACCTTTTTCAAACTGCTGTAATGTTGTAAAAGGCGCTTAATCTTTCCAGAAACACGTTATCCATGTTCTCCCCAGACAGATCATTTCTTACTTCTCTATTTATATCCCTTTCCAGATGCTTCATGTCATTAAGTGAGATGTTAGGATGTGAGGAAGACAAAGGTGTGTTATATCCGGATACATCTTTGCTCTTTTCTACTTGAGTGAACACTTGGAGTTTGCCATCGGTGTTCTCACCTCGAAGAACTGGCTTCTGCAAGTCCTCCATCTGAGGACTGCTGCGGAGAATGGGTCGAAGTACAGCCAAATCTCTTTCCACGGCCAATCGCTGGCTTTCTTTGTACGAATTATCATCCTGATAATCCTCCTTTTTATATGTATGCAACATTTCATCTCTTCTGTATTCATTAGTCACATATTCCTCTTTGTATTTGTTGTATTCAATTTGTCGCGTGTCAAACACTTCGACATTGTTTGTGAATTCATTATTGATTTTGAACTGTCCATCTCTGTTTGAGGCAATGGTGATATTTGGTGCTCCTTTCTTAGGATTCTGTGTTTTTTTAGTCATCTTCTGTGGCTGTTTTTTATCTAAAATACTCTTCAATATCGCGTTTTTCTTTGTGGATTTTAAATTAGTTTCCTCTTGATCATTTTGTTTGGGCTCTTCTTTGGCATCATTTTTGACTTTCCCCTGTGATTTTTTCTCTTTAGTGTCTTTGGGCTTGGCTTTTACTCCGTCTACCCTCAGGCGCACTTTGTCGTGGATGAGCATGTGTCGGCGTAGATCATACGCCACTCTGAAGCACTTCTCACATTGTTGGCATTTGTATGGTTTATTGCCTGAAAATTAATTTGAATTATTGTTTTATATACTTAATATAGGACTTTTTTTATATATATAAGGGTTACAAACCAGCACTCAGTTTCACACGCGATAAACTTCACATAGTAGAAGTTTCTGACTTATAGGCTAACGCTGCGAAATGCCACCTAGCAGCATTGGACTCAATGGAGAGTGCGATAAGAAGCCTGCCTATTGGTAACCTTGATTTGGTTGAAACCAATCTTGTCAACCTAATAATCCAGTCCAGGTTGACAAGATTAATAATAATAATAATATTAATCTTGTCAACCTGGACTACAGGCGCAGCTTCCATAGGATATATTCTGAGGATTCCTGCGCATAGGAATTACATTATTTAATTCCTCCCTCCAATTTCTATCATCAGACAACCAGACGGTCGGCGGGTCTTTATCTTGGTTGATATTCTACTCATTCGAACCCAACGCTTTGTATCGTCTTTCGTTATGCGTACAACAAATGAAATAGTGTGCATAACCCTCATTCCAAAAGCCCCTCCCTCCATCTCTCCCACACACACCTACACTACGTACACTAAAATTACCGCAACAACATTACCCACATCACCGTCGAAAATACACTAATCACTAAGCAGTTAATCGTAGCAGTCTATTTCGCCTGATGATGCCTCGTATTGAGGCGAAACACGTGTCGAGTTTGACTGACTGACTGATTGATGATGATGATAACGCACTTAACGAAAACCACAGGGTTTTTGTTACACATTGTATATTGGATTACCTAATTAGTGCAGGCCGTCCATACTCTCCTTACCCTCCCACCTTCGATCAACAATACTAACTAGATAACGGGTCACGTACAAAATCATAGCTAAATGCTGTCCGCGTGAATATATACTTATACAGCTAGATTTGTTTACTAAAGAACTGAGACAAAAAATTAAAACAGTTTTATGTTCAACCCAATTTCAACCATGGCATCTAGTAATAAAGTCACAAATCTTACGATCATTAGTTACAAAAACGAACAATTCAATGCATTACTCCTGTCACTTGGAAATGAAAAGACCTTAAGTAATAACAAATTAAAGTACTTTTTCCCGTTATTGTCTTACAAGCTACGTCGTTTTGTTTCGTGTCTGTTTGCTTCTTCGAATTTAGCTACAAAAGTTATGGAGCCGCGGTGAACACTAAAATTATTTATAATATGATCATAAGTTTAGTTAAAATTATTTATATTTTGGGCATTTACGAGGGGTGATCCAAAAGTAATGATAATCGGTTACTTCAGGTCCGCATAAAAATCCAAAAAAAATATTTTTTGCTTGCTTATATACTCACTACGTCCAAAAAAATCATATAAATAGATCACGATTTCCGGGAGATACATTCATTTGAATACGAACCCAGACCAGTCGGTTAACATTCTGGGTACCCATTTGGGTACCCAGAATGATAACCGACGAGCAAAAGAAAAATCGAGTTGACATTTCGAGGGTCAATCTCGAAAAGTACCAAGCAGATCAAGAAAATTTTTTATTCCGTTTTGTGACTATGGACGAGACCTGGATCCACCATTTTGATCCTGAAACGAAACAACAATCGATGACTTGGAAGCGAGCCTCCTCACCGACGCCAAAGAAATTCAAAGTTTCAAGTTCGGCGGGAAAGGGAAGCATAATGATGGTGGAATATTTGGAAAAGGGAGCCACTATTACGGGCTCTTACTACGCAGACCAAATAAGAAGATTACGGGAGGCCATTAAGGAAAAAAACGCGCCAAACTGCGAGCTGGAGTGCTGTTTCACCAAGACAACGCACCGGCTCACAAAGCCGCAGTTGCGATGGCTGCCATTCAAGAAACGGGATTCGAACTGCTCGAACACCCTCCCTATTCGCCAGATCTAGCTCCTAGTGATTTCTACCTCTTTCCTCGGCTCAAGGAACGCCTCCGAGGCAAGAAATTCGTAGACGATAGCGAAGTAATGGCCGCTGTTGAAGCGTTTTGGGAGGGTCAAGACAAAGAATTTTTTTTAAAGGGAATCCTGGGTTTAGAAAAAAGATGGACTAAATGTATTGATTTGTTAGGAGACTATGTAGAAAAATAAATTATTATTTTAACTTTAATTACCGTGTTTTATTTTCATTATCATTACTTTTGGATTACCCCTCGTATGTTTGTTAGTATACATACAGATAATACATTACATATTAGATAATTCATTATATATTTATTTTAGTTTTTGTATGTATAGGTATGTTTGTAGTATATATATTATACATATTATATATATATATATATATATATATATATATATATATATATATTCTTTTTATCACACTAAATTACCCTACCCCTGTTATCTTCGTGTAATCCTGTCCATCCATTGTTTGTCTCGAAGAAATTGCTGTTAGCAATAAGACCGCCCATTGCGTACTTCTTTGTGTTGGTGTATAATATGATTATTTCATTTATCTGTGTTTTCGTACATAAAAACTAATAAACTGTAAGTACGCTTTTTGTTTTTCAAACGTATGTAATATCGGCGGCTGGCAAAGGTGTCTTGATAGCTGGATGTTATAAACAAATATATCACTAAATTCCACATTCCATATTTATGTGGAATTTAGTGATATTTTTGTGAGATCCATTCTGCACACATAAACGGATTGCTAGGAGAGCTAAAATAAAATCAATAAAGCTAAGTATCTAATGAAATTACACAAACAGAGACAAAAGTAGCAATAACCATTATTTAAAGTTCTGCTAACAAATTACTAAAAATGATTACAATACAAATCTACTCCATGTATTCTACTGTTCTGTTTCACAAATGTTTACGCGTGTATTGGCCAACCTTGGCAAAACATTTGTAGAGGTGCTTTGAAATCGGTAATTTTGTTTCAAATATGACAATAGTTGTTAGTTTAAAGCTTAAAATATAACTTATTCTACACGTACTTACAGAAAGTAAGACACCTCGGCTGTTAAATTGCTTTTTCGGGCATTATTCTTGCAACTTTTAAATATACATTGCGGCATTGTGAAACGTGTTTACATTTGCTGTGTTTCAAGTCAACTAAACGAAATAAGAGCTCACGTCTCCAGTGCGCTGTTATTTACTTATACGTATTTTTTGCGCCGACCCGATATCTAGTTGGTATTGTTGATCGAAGCCTGCCACCCTATCACATTGCGACACGTGTATCGCGTCAAAACGAGACATCATCGGGAGAAATATACTGCTACGATTAACTGCTTAGTGATTTAGTGTATTTTGAATAACGCACCTAACGAGAAGCACAGGGTTTTTGTTACATGTTGTAAATATTTACATTAACTTATATCCCTTCTGGCTATACTGTTCTAGTGTCTATTACACACATCACTACTCTATGAGTTATAATTGTATGTACGAACTACGAACGTGTTGCGCTTTAATAAACTGTTTAATTAATTAATTTATCATTGCTCATATTTTGTTGGAGGTGCTCTAGTTAAAACACACCATTTTTTTTCACGCGGTTCTTCATCATTCATCATCATCATTACAGCCCTTCACAAGTCCACTGCTGAACATAGGCCTCCCCCAAAGAATGCCACAAAGCACGGTCCTGAGCCACCTGCATCCATCGACTTCCTGCATGTCTTACCAGGTCGTCACTCCATCTCGTGGGGGGACGCCCTACACTTCGCCTACCGGTACGAGGCTGCCACTCGAGAACCTTTCTTCCCCATCGGTTATCGGTTCTTCGAGCTATATGGCCGGCCCACTGCCACTTCAGCTTACTAATCCGTTGGGCTATGTCAGTTATTCTGGTTCTACTGCGGATATCCTCATTCCTAAGTTTATCACGCAGAGAAACTCCGAGCATTGCCTTCTCCATAGCTCACTGAGCGACCTTGAGCTTCCTCATACGGCCAGCAGTGAAGGACCACGTCTCAGTTCCGTAAGTCATCACTGGCAACACGCACTGGTTGTACAATTTCGTTTTAAGGTTTTGAGGTATGTCTGACGAGAAGATGTGTCGTAGCTTCCCGAACGCTGCCCAGCCGAATTGAATCCGTCGATTGACCTCTCGGTCGAAGTTGGACTTACCTAGTCGGACTATTTGTCCCAGGTAAACATACTCGTCAACAACTTCGAGCTTAGTGCTCCCAACAACTACCGGCATAGGTGTGACATGGACATTAAACATGATCTTTGTTTTGTCCATGTTCATCTTAAGACCTATCCGTTGGGAAACACTATTGAGGTCATTGAGCATAGTGCTTAGGCCCTCCAGCGATTCTGCCATAAGGACTATATCGTCGGCAAATCGAAGGTGAGTGATGTACTCGCCATTGATGTTGATACCGTATCCTTTCCAGTCCAGAAGCTTGAAAACGTCTTCCAATGCAGCGGTGAAGAATTTCGGGGATATAACGTCACCCTGTCTTACACCTCTCTGCAATTGGATAGGTTTCGTACTCTGGTTCTGTACTCGGATAGCCATCGTAGCCCTACTGTACAAGCACTTCAACACTTCGATATACCGACAGTCAACTTGGCACCGCTGAAGGGACTGCAGCACCGCCCAAATTTCGACGGAATCAAAGGCTTTCTCATAGTCCACATACGCCAGACATAGTGGCAAATTGTACTCTTCGGACTTCTGTACAACTTGCCGAAGGGTATGTATGTGGTCTATGGTGCTAAAGCCTTTTCCGAAACCGGCTTGTTCGGGAGGCTCGAAGTCGTCAAGTCTACGCCTCCGGTGTAATGCCACCATGGAGGACGGAATTAAAGAGCTTCTGAAGGACTTCAAGTACCGGTCTTCCACCCGCTTTCAGAAGCTCCGCTGTAATTCCATCCTCGCCTGGGGCCTTACCGTTTTTAAGGTGCTGGAGAGCCATACTAATCTCGCTCAGACTGACGTCCGGGATATCTTCGGAATAGTGTCGGATGAGACTCGCTCTTGGATCGTTACTCACACTTGCGTGTGGCTCCAACGATGACGTGTACAGCTGCCCATAG